TCAGATTCAGCACTAGTTTATTTGTCTTCTTCTAAGACAGTATGTGATAACTGCACTGTTAGAAGACATCCTACTATAAGGTCATGCTTGGCTTCTGCTTGGAACTGGTGACTGAGACCTACTACTAAGCTGATGCTCTGGTACTGGGCAGTTTTGCAAGTGAGAATACTTGTCGATATTTGAAACACTCGTCCTGTTTGGGGTCCTAATGGCAAAAAGCTCAATGGTAATGGAGAACTGAAGCAATGTTGATTTTTCTTACCCATGCCTAAAAGGCAATGTTTTATTAGAGCCAAGCAGAATAAGTCTAATCCCAATTTTACATGAAAAACTTTCAAATACTTAGAGACAGCCACAACCATCTAACTCTTCTCTTTTGAGCCTGAATACCCAGTTCCTTCTGTCAATTCTCATATGGTACAAACTTGAGGCCATTTACAATCCTGATCAATCTCCTTTGGAAGCTTTCCAGGTTATTCATGTACATCCTAAAATGTGGTATCCTGGCTTAAACATCTAATTCTATACAAAATTGCCAAAATGTAATGAGGTAACCCAATCAAAGATGTCCATCAGGAAGAATGATGCTCAAAAACAATAATTCTCCACTACTTACTCAATAAAGATGCTTGAATTCATCTGTCATTTTCAAGTGCTTTTTGTCTAATCTCCCCACTAGATTATCAGCTCTACAAAGGCAGTGACTGTGTCTAGTTTCATCTTTATCTACCACTTAGCAGATCATAGGTACATGCTAGTTTTTTAATTAACATTTCCAGAATGGCTGAGAGAAAAGGCATTAGTAAAATGTCTTGTGAATACCTACTGGCTTTTCCATAAAGAGTTTATTGACATCATTTATTTTCACTACATTTCTCTTGGTATCCCTTTTTTCCCCTTTCAGAAAGCTATCCTGTATAAAATAATTTTTTAAAAAGATAGAAAAAAAAACAGCAAAACTTATCAATATATTTTTAAAAAATCTGACGTCATATGCAATGTAATCCACAACTGTGGATGTCTCTGCCTTTGTGAAGGGAACATAAAGTGTCTTCTTGTGTTTTTTTTTGGGGGGGGCCGACCATGTATTTTATAATTTCACAACATTCATTTTCAACTGTTTTGTGGTTGTTCTTTCCCTTTACATTGTTGCAGTCACCGTGTATATTGTCTTCTTGGCTCTACTTCACTTTGCATCAATTCATATCAGTCTTTGCATACTTCTCTAAATTCATCATTTGTTTCTTATAGCACAGAAAGAATCCCTTACACAATTGATGTAGACATTCTCCAATTCAGCTCTTTGCTACCACAAAAAGTGCTGCAATAATCATTTTGGTGCATATGGGGCCTTTTTGTCAGTGACTTCCTTGGGGTATATGACTAGAAGTGGAAAGTCTGAGTCAAACAATATGGACATTTTAGCCACTTTACTTGAATAATTAGATATTGCTTTTCATAACCAACCTACAGAATCATTAGTTCCACCAATACTGCGTTGCCATGTCTGCCTTTTCACAATCTCTCCAACAATGACTATTCCCTTCTTTTGTCATCTTTGGCAATTTGCTGGATGTGGGGTGAAATCTCAAGATTTATGATTTGCATTTCTCTCATTAGTGATTTGGAGCATTATTTCATATGGCTGTAAAGAGTTTGTAATTCTTTTGAAAACTGTTCATATCTTTTGATCACTTCTCTACTGGGCAATGGTTTTTGGACTTAAATTAGATAACTTGGATAACTAAACCCTTTGTAAGAGATATTTGATACAAAGATTTTTTTCTCCCATTAATCACTTTCCTTCTTATTTTAGATGCATTAATTTGAGTCTGTGTGTATGTGTTTTTGTGTATGCAAAAGCTGTTCCCTATGCCTAGAACACATTCCTTCCTTACTTTCTTCTCAGAGTTCCTCTCTTTCTTAAAGATGCAAATGTGGCATCATATTCTGCAAAAAGTCTTTCCTGAAGCCCCAACTACTAGTGCTCTATCTCCCAAACTACAACTTCTTTGTGCGTTTATTAAATAATTTTATATTTGTGTTGTCTATATTTGTATATGTACTTGTTCTCTCCTCCATTAGAATGTAAGCTCAATGCAAGCAGAAATTATTTCATTCTGAGCACTCATAACATCAATGCCTATGACAATTTTGCTTACATTCTGTTGCTGTTCAGTCATTTTCAGTCATACCCAACTCTTCATGACCACATTTGCGGTTTTCTTGTTAAAGATATTGGAGTGGTTTGTCATTTCCTTCTCCAGCTCATTTTACAGATGAAGAAACTGAGGCAAACGGGGTAAAGTGACTTGCCCAGGACCATACAGCGAGTAAGTGTCTGAGGCCAGATCTGAACTCAAGAACACAAGTCTCCCTGACTCAAGTCCAGCACTCTATCCACTGCAGTCCCTAGCTGCTCCTGCTGGTTACACAGCAGATCCTTAACCCTTGCAGAATGACTTTCTTTTTCATGTGGTCAAAATTATCTAGTTGATCTGTCGCTTTTTCCTCTTGTTTGGTTAGGAATTTATCTTCTACCCATAGCTATGAAAGGAATATGACCTGCTTCTCTTCTAATTTTTAATATTCAGGTCATTTAACCATTTTGAATTTGTTAAGGAATACGGTGTAAAAGGTGATTTGAGTCTAATTTCTTCCAGACTGTTTTCTAGTTGTTATCAAGTAGGGAGTTCTTTACTAAGTAATTTATGTTTTCAGGTTAATCAAATATTGAATTACTTGAATTCCATTATTTTTGATTCTCCTTTATCTAGACAGTTCCACTGACACAGACTAAGAAACAAAGCATTTGTAAAATGTCGAGCAAACCCCTGTTGAGTTCTCAATAATGACTACTGACTGACAAGCTGGCGTTTCAAAATATAATATATCAGAGGTAAAACAAATTCTCATATTTCTGTTGTGCAAATATATTTGCTTAAAAACAATTATAGTATGAAATGGATTCCTTGGGTGGTCAAATAAAATTATGACTTTAACACATGCAGGCCTAGCAAGTGGTTTGAATAAGCTTTAAATATCAGTTATCCTTTAAGCAAAAATTCACCTCAGATTCCCATCTATTCTGGCAAAGTATAGTCATGGCTGCATATTCCAAACTGCTATGAAACCAACAGCAGTTTCTAATTGTTTCTGCCTATCCTCTTTTTTCTCCTCCAAACTTACAAGATGACTTTCATTTTTCTGTAAATTTTACTTTCCATTATGTCACACAGACAACGCTTTCTTAAGTCTTATAAACTTCCTTTCTTTCTTTCTCCTCTTCAATTAACTAAAAACTATTTGAAATCAATTAATCAAAAAGCTTTTATTAATAGCCTACTATATACCTTGCACTAGACCCAAGTGAAATAGTCCTTGCCCTCAAAGAACTCACATTACCCTGGGGAAACATGTACACATGTAAATATAAAATATGTACAAAATAAATAGAAGGTATTTTGAAAGGGAGACACTAGGACCTAGTTGGGGGATCAGGAAAGGTCTCGTGTATGAGGTGGCATGTGAGCTAAACCTTGAATAAAATCAAAGATTCTAGGTGGCAGTGGTAAGGAAAGGGGTGCATTCCAGGCATAAAAAACAGCTTGGACAATTATAGCAATAAAAAACACTCAGGGTGTATAAGGGACAACGTATGCAAAGGTAGAAAGACAGGAGACGAACTGTCAATTGTAAGGAATACCAAGAAGGTCAGTTTGGACATCAAGTATACAAAGGGGAATAATGCAAAAGTTTTGAAAGGTAGGTTGTAGCCAGGTTGCAAAGGGCTTTTAAATGCCAAACAGAGGAGTTTGTTTTTGATGCTGGAGGTAATGGGGAGCCCCATTAAAAATAAATTAGAATTTTTTCTGAATTATCTTTTTATCAATCAAGATACCAATGATGGAAGAAAAATCTAAAAGTAGAAGTTTAAAATAAACAATGTCTAGATAATACTCTAGGATCAGTAGAGTGGGGCATAATTTCTTATATTTTCAATATATATAACATTGTATAATACGTGTTCATAAAGATGATCTTCAAGAAACTACAAAATTCTGAATCACCAAAAAAAGATTAAAATTACATTCCATAAAGAATTACTAATTTTTAGGAGTAGAAGAGTCCTTAGAAATCATCTAATCTAACCCTCCCCCTTTACAGATGATACAATTGTCTCAAAGTCATAAAGCTAGTACAGCATAGCCAAAAGTAGACCTCAGCCTTCTAACTGGAATCCAACATTCTTTTCATTACTGTTAATTACAAAACGTAATAAATTACAGCTCCCTATTGTCTAAATAATTCAATTAATGAAAGTTTTACTGTACCTGCTACTTTTCCTTTTGGTACATTCCCTCCAACTTTCCTACTACTCATATTCTCCCTTTACTCCATTCTGTGAGATTTCCTCAAATATTTTGCATGTTGTTGAACATCTATTCACAAGTCAGGGCAGATCGCCACACTGGGAAATACTGGGTTACATGAAACAAATTTTATATGTGGCTGTGACCAAAGAAAAGGTAACTGTTATAATATTTTGAAGTATCATTCAGTCTGTGTCAGATTATATTTAAACAGGCAACAGTAACACTGAATTCAAAATTGTACCATAATGTAGTCAAGAACAAAAGTTAAAAACAGTTGTACATTTTAATTAAAAAAAAAAAAACACATTTAAAAATAAGTCTGGGCATACAGTAGAAACACAAAAGCTTGCTGATCTTGGAATCACTTTGCAATTTTAAGGCAGGATGAGATGATGCTCTAAATGTTGGTCCTCTGATTTGACAGATCACTGTAACTAAATTTAACCCTTTATGAAAGTTATAACAAGTACATGGAGTCTTCTTTTTAGATTAGCAGAGATCAGAAATTACTTTTAGAATCATTGAAGTCTTGCCAAATGTTTAGTCATCCACAAATAAGTGACTCGCTTTACTTCCTTTATGCTTGCCAGGAAATTCTGCTAGTAGCTAATTAAAGTACAATACCTTTATCTGTGTACTTGTGTTCTAATGCATGAAGATCAGGTAACAGGTGGATGCAGTTGATGCAGCAGTAAGTGAAGAAATCCAGGACTACAATTTTCCCACAAAGATCCTTGTAGACAGAAATGGAACCCTCTGTATTCAGCCATTCTAGTCCTGAAATTAATATAAAAGAATTTTAGTTATAAGAATAAATAGATAATTTAACTAAAACTGTAAAAAAAAAAATGAAATGGCCTTTAAAAAAATAACTAATAAAACAGGCCATAAATTTTAAGAGATGACTGAAACTTCTAACTTAAGGCATGTGGAATTGAGATGTGTCTGTTTATAGCCTTGTATGGGTTTTATGCATACCTATATTAGGTGCAATAATGTAGACTTTGAGGGCAAGGGCTGTTTTACTTCTGATTTTGTATCCTGAGACCCTGACACACAGTTGCCATCCACAATAAAAGCTTGTGATTAAAAGCTTTTGCTGCCAAGAAACATATAAAAAATATGTATTTGTGTTTCCAAGAGAAGGTAAGCTCCATAAGGACAGGGATTGTTTCATTTTTGTCCATGTCTCACTAGCACTTGGCTAACACAGTGTCTGACACATTGATAATATAAGGTTGTTAACTGACTGACTCTTTCAGCAAAGCAAGAGTCAGGGCTTTCTACAGAAAAAAGAAGGGGAAGTGGTATGGTAAGGTCTTGAGAGAAGGAAAAGTTTTAAATAGTCACTTCCGTCAGTAAGATGAGGGAGTGAATCAAGGAAGAATAAAAGTTCAGTACCATAATGAAAATCTAGTTGAGACAGATAACGGGCAGACCCAATTAACATGATGGGAGGCAGTAGTAGAGAAAGCTGGAAGTGGGGAAACCCAGGGTTAAGTAGTGAGACAGTGTGAATGATGAAAGAAGGACAAAATATTCAAGGAGAGAGGACAACGTAATGCTGAGTTGGTTGGTCACAGGGGCAAGACTGTGAAGGAAATACAGTGAGATCAGAGCAAGCACGATAAACTGGGGAAACAGTGAGGTGTAGAACTGGAGGTCATACATGGTGGGAAGAATACGTTTAGGAGAAGGGCAATAAGAAAAACAGGAAAGTATGATGGAGGGAAGTTTCAAAGTTTAAGATAATAGAGGTAAGACAGTAACAATTAGATAATGGTGAGACCTAAGATACAATTACTTCTACTAGTGGCTGAGTTGGACTAAAAATCTACGGCAGTAGACAGGATTGACAAATTAAGAGGCCAGAGTATTAGACATGACATTCAGGTATAAACTGAGTCCCCAAATTTAAAGGTGGGTAATAAGATGAAAAAGAAGACTGTGTGTCAGATAATGAATCACTTGAGAAAGAAGAAGTATGTGGAAGCCAATGGATAATACCAAGAGAGATTTGGAACAAGTAATATTAATGGGTGGCTTGGACCTCAAAGGGTTGGAAAACATTGCAGTTATAAAAGGCAGTGGCTAGGAGTGTCAAGTAGTATGTCTGTTTCCTTTCCTGTTCCAATGTATCCATCAATTTGAGAGAAGGTTCAACCAGGACTAGAGAAAGCAACCAATGATGCTAAATCTGGAGAAAACCAGATTTTTTGTATATTCCATTCAACAAATGCTCATTCACTACTCTTCAAAAAAGATAATGCTTCATTAAACCTGTGTTCTACTCATTTGGATTCAAGATCATTTGACCTAGGCTGAAAAAACTTTAGGTGAAAAAAGTTTTGCTACATAGATAATGAACATAAAGAATGCAGAGTAACAGAATAAGATTTTTGGTAGGTACTAAATTGCAAACTCTATTTAAGTCCTCTCTAACGTGCTACTTGGTTTCTCAAAGGTCATTTCAGCCAGGAAGAAGGTCTAACAGATCCTACCACACTGAAAATGTTTAGCACTAGATCCCAAAACAGTCTCCCAAAACAACTGAGCTTAGAGACTTCTGAGATGACCCTCACAACTTAGAAAGGGTCATCATGACCATGTTGGTTTTTTTTTTAGGTAATTGAAGTTAAGTGACTTGCCCAGGATCACCCAGTTAGTACGTGTCAAGTGTTTGGTCTGAGGCCGGATTTGAATTCAGGTCCTCCTGACTTCAGGGCCTGTGCTCTATCCACCGAGCCACCTAGCTGCCCCTATCATGACCACGTTATTGGCCATAACTTATTAAACTGTCAATTAAGGTGTCAAAGAGTTTTGATCTATATAGTAGTTGGAACACCACTACCAATAAAATCACTGGTCTTTGAAGTTTGTATCAGCAAATTCATGCTGATACAAACATATGAATAGCAATCTTCCTTTCTAAAACCCTTAACTCTGAAATTTCCCATTCTGATCCTAATCTTCTATCCTTCTCTCTTCTGTTTGACTTCCTAAACCTCCCTACTCTTTATCCTCACCATGATGTCTCTCTGACCCTCTCGGTTCACCCAATGCGTCATACTTATGTCCTAACTTTCCTTTCTCCACAGTCTTGACCCTGAAGTTTACCACTTCAACCAAATATTATCTTCTACTGTTAAATCCCTCGCTCCTATGTCTTTCCACCATTCACCACACCTATTCTTAACCCTTAATCATATTACTGAATGCTCCTGGAGGAAGTTACACAACAATGCACTCGAAATTCATGTTATCTGATTTTCACTGGACTGTCAATGCTGCAAGGAAATCTTTTTACTTTTCCTTGAGTCCACCAAACTTCAGAAAGTGGCTGTTTCAAATCCATTCCTCTTTTTAATTTTTCTGTTCTTTAAGAGGAATTAATCTTCTACCATCACTATTCCCTCTCAGTAGATGAACTTGTCTCCTACTTTACTGAGAGAATCAAAGTTAGCCAGTGAGCTGCTTCATGTCCCCCATGTATCCTCTCTACTTGCTGAATTCTCTGAGATAGAGGTAGCCCTTTTGGTCAAGGTCAGTTCCCTATTTGTGGCCCTGATACTACGTTCCCCAAGGGCCTGTCTGGGCCCTTGGCTTTCTTGAATTCCAAATCTTAACCTCTCCCCTATACTCAAAGCTCATACTACCAACTTCCTCCTGGATGTCACAAAGGCATTTCAGATTCAGTATATCTAAAAATGGAACTTCTTCATATACTACCTAAACCCATTCCTTCTCCAAATTTTCCTATATCTGATACCAACCTATCTTTCCCACCTCACTAGACATTACTCCCCTTTCTGCTCTCTTCAATCCAGCTAAATTGGCCTTCTCTGTGTTCTTCACACACATTTCATCTCTTCACACCCAGAATGTACTCACTCCTCACTTGTCATAGAATCCTTTTCTTCCCTCAAAGCACAGCTGAAGAACCATGAAGTCTTCTTTCCAAATCTTTCTAGAGGTTAGGGCCCTCACTCCTAAACTATCATTTATACATTCTCACATATACATGCCCTTGTCCATCTTTCACATTAGAAACGTAAGCTCCTCAAGACCCAAGATTGTTTCTCTGTTTATATATATATGTATCCTTAGCACCTAACAGTGCTTGGAAGGCAGTAGGCCTTAACAAATGCTTATCTATTAACTGATTGAAAGGGTACCATCATCTTTCCAGTAACTTCAGTTCATAATCTCAGTCACCCTTCATTCCTCTTTTCACTGCCCCAATCCAATCAGTTACAAAGTGTTCATATTTCTCAAATCCATACCCTCCACTCAACTCCCACTACTCCCACTCTTAACATAGCCTCCTAATTGGTCTCCCCGCTTCTAGTACCCAATAAATTCACCCACCAGCTGCCAAAATTATCATCCTAAAGTACAGGTTCAATTATGTCACTCCCCTGCTCAAAAGTGTTCAGAGGTTCTCCACTGCCTATAGGAATACAAACTCTTCAGACTGGCATTTAAGGCTCTCTCATGCTAGAAACTACTCCCTTCTCATCTTTACATCTCAAAAGCCTGACTTCCTCCAGGTTGCAAGTTATCTCTCCCCTCAAGCCCTTCTTGATTTCCTAGTTGCTAGTGCTTTCTTTCTTATATCACCTCGAATTTACTCATTTGTATAGTCCTTGGGCTTTTTCTTATTTTTTTGTTTCTGTCTTTGTATTCTAGATACTAGCATAGTGCCTTATACATGAGGCACTTAAATGTTTTTTCAATCTTAATAATTAGTACTGGATTCCTATTGTGAAAAGCCATATAGGAGCTTAAAAGACTATACTTCAATAAAAACTTAAGAAAAATTGAAGAAAAAGAAGTATCAATTGGTATACCATCCTTAAAATGTGGATAACTCTTGGAATGTCTATCAAAAAACAGATGAGAGAACATATGTAAAGCAATTTGTAAAACTTAAATCATTACCTAAATGTCAATTACTGTACCCTTTTTAACAGACAGGGAAATTGTAATTCAGCTAGTTAGGAATCAGAGGCAGAATCTGAACCCTGGTCTCCTGGCTCCAAGTCTAGAGCTTCCTTACACTAGGACATAATGTCTTTCTTATGGCTTATTTGAATAACATCATGAGTTAGCTAAGTCCCAATTCTTTCTAAGAAAGGACCAAAAGTAGTTATGTTATTTCTGACATTCAATTATTGTCTATTAGCTTACAGCTTTTTCTTATTGGTGAAGCACTTATACATTACAAAATCAACTAAAAAATTAGCAAACCAAGACAGAAAGCATTTCAGTGTTCTGTTCATAATGATCGGAACCCTCTGAAATCCTGGTTATATCTGTGGCAAACTTGGATACATGGACTGTATGTATCTAATCTGATAGGGCATCTATCTTACTTTATTTCAAAGAATGTCCTACTAAAATTTGGTATTGTCCAATGTTGAGATGTTTATCTATAGCAAGTAAAGTATTGTGAAGTAGAGAGCAATTTAAACAAAAAAGGACAATTTGTAATAAATCTCAGCTTCCCCTGACCCTCAGAAGCCAATGCTCCAAACAATGGCCTTTACTGGTATGGTATTTTAGAAGTCAAATACCATTACAACAAAATTAGTCATCATTAAAAAATTCCAAACCCCTGCCAATAGTTCGTTTAAGTACAAGTTACAACAGAATTTCTGTAAAACAAAAGAAATCTGTATCCTTTTTAATGTCCATTTTTAAGAGAACCAAGAAGCAGCATGATATAACAGGGCATTAGAATTGGAATCTGGACGACCTGGGTTCAAATTTTACCTCATGAGCTTACTAGCTGTGCGACATTAAGCAAGTCACTTAACTTCTTTATACCTCAGTTTCTTCATCTGTAAAATGAAAGGATGGGCTTCTCAGGGCCCATTTGGCTTACAGATTGTAAGCCTGATGTGAGGAGTTGTTCCCCCACTTTCTTTGTCTCCCTGTGCGCAGCAATATAGTGAGCGCTTTATAAATACTCGTTGACTTGACTTCCAGATCTACACCTATGAACTTACTAAAATTACTTTCTCTGTGAAAACCCAATAGGGCTTTGTCAAGAAAAAGCTGGCCCTGCTCTTGGTAGGAGAGGGTCATGAGAAGTGTCCTGTTTCTGCGAGGCAAACAGCAGGGCCCGCTGGCCAGGGAAAATGCCAGGTCCTTGCCTCCCAGATGGTGATAACTGGGCCTGGCTTCTTCCAGCCCATTAACAATGCACGAGCTCTCTGTACACCGCCACCTCTGGTAAACCGTGCCAAGGCCTCCCCTTTGCCCACTCTGCCAGGGAATAGGGGCTGTTCGTGGAACAGCATCCGCCGCCTCATCCCCGAGGATGCATCTCCAAGAATGGACGTTTCTGAAGTACGAGGTGCAGGGGGTGTATCCCTCAATGGGTTGCAGATCAGTGGTTGCACTCAATAGGGTTCAGAACAGTGGGGGGCACCCCTAAGTGAGGTGCCTTAATCAGTGATACTACCTTGTTGTGGGTTGTAAACTCCTTGAGGGCAGGGGCTGTTTCGGGCTGGCTTTGTCTCCGCAGGCTTTTACACCGGCACCTAGAAACGTACCCCCAAGGGGTGGCCTGGGGAAGAGGGGGAGGGATCTGAGGATTCCAGAAACCTCAGAGAATGTAGAACCGTCGGCGGCTATGGGGTGGGGGTGGGGCGCTGGACAGGAGGGCCCTGACAGTCAATAAGCATTTATTAGGCGCCTCCTATAAGCCGGGCATCGAGAGGACGCCGAGCAAGACCACTCCCGGCCCCAGCGCCTGGCCCCCGCCTCACCGCCTCGGGGCAGGGGAGGGGCCGCCCGGGGTCCCCTCACCTTCCGGGAACTCGGGCACAGCCAGGTCCTGCTCCCAGCTGTCCACCTTCTGCAGGTACTGGTAGACCAGCTTGTCCTTCTCCTGCGCGGTGACGGCGTCGAGCAGCGCGTACTCCAGCGAGGTCTGGGCGGGCAGCAAGGCCGAGAGGCTCGCGCCCGCGGCTCCAGGGACTGCCATGTTCCCTGCGTCTCTCCGGCTGCGCGGGCCGGATCCCTTCCCGGGGACCTGGGGCGGGGTGGGGGAGGGAAGAAAGCCTAGACGGCCCTTCGGTTTCAGTGCGGCACATTCGCCTCTCCCTCCACAGCGGAATTTGCCTCTAACCTCTAACCTACGTTTTGTTTTGCTTTCAAGTCTTAAACACCAAAGTTCTAATTATTTTTAAACACCACTTAACGCGAAATTGTCGCCCCGCCCCCCTGCTTTACCTTTTCGAGGTCATTTCCCTACCGGCGAGTGTAAATATTCGCAGTAGCAGATTCGTAGGCGAAAAGGCCCGGGAAATACTATCCTGCGAGGACTCTAAGTAAATTAATTCTCCCCGACACATGAGGTTTAAAAGGAAATACGTATTTAAATCAAAGTCGTGGAACTCAGATAACAATATTTCCCCTTCGCTCATTTTGAAGCCCCTCTCTACCTCCCCGTATTTGTTCAAAATCAGCCGATTCGACACGGCCCTTGGAGCGGGAAGATGTTCCCGCCTCAAAACAAGCACAAAGTTAAGAAAATCGAGGTGTGAGTAGAATGGAAGAGGCCGTGTCCTGAATTAAGGGTTAGGGAGACTCGCAAAAAGAGAAACAAAGAATTCTGTCAGTTGTCCCCCGGGATGTGGAAAGTGCTGGAGCGGACGAAAGGTTAGTGCCGAGCCCGCGGGAGGATGAAGGGAGCTGAGGGAACAGAGAGGGGAAAACGGGCGGGGGGAGAGGATGCAGCTGCAGCTCTGTGGGGTGGGGGGCGGGCCCTGAGGGCACAGGTGTGGATGCCACCGGGGTCTCTGCCAGGCAGGAGTCTCACAAGGTCGGGTTCTTGGACTGATAAAAGTCTTAGCGCTGACTCACTATTCAGGGCTTGGTTAGCACTGCTTCTTCCCTCACCCCCAGGATAGGGATGGCGCCCAGCCCTGACCCTTGGACACACAGTGGGCCCCTTGCTATCTTTTTCCATTCAAAAACCACGCAATTCTAGAAGAAGATAGAGGAAGGTATCAGGTGGCTCCTCATTGGCTAGAGAGCGTAAAGAAGGCCAGCCACCTTGCTATCATAGACTCTTTAGGAGACATGATCTCTGTACCCAGGAATTTCACACTTCAAGTTGTGTCTGTTTCTTTGTACAGTGGAAGATGCTGGATTGTTCCCAGAAGCCGAATCTGTTCAGTGCCCACTGCTTTGAATGATAGTGCGATTTCTTGCTGCTACAGGGAATCATCTTTACCCACCTCCAAACAAGAAGATATGGCCATTTCCTTTTTGGAACAGTTCTTGCACCAATTAACTAGGAGAAAAAATTAATGATTTTGTTTTGAGAGTAATTTAGACATATATACATTTCGGACAGAGTTTATCCCTTTTACAACATTATTTGTATGTTAAAATAGTGAATTTTGGAATAATTTAATGCCTGGAAATTCTGAAATTTCCTTAAATGCTTGAATTTGGAAATAGTTCTAATTTATAGATTTAGGACTATGTCTTTGCTTGTTTACAACAACTCAAGTTAACTCTCAGAATGAACCAGCAACAACAAATAACTAATCATTATATATGTGAAACCTTTGAAATTTTATTGTGGTATAAAAACTACTGCAGATTTTGTTTTTTTGTTTTTTGTCTTTTTTTGGAAGCAGAAAACTACTGCAGGTTTTTCTTTGAGGCAGAGTTTGTATTTTCCCAAGCTCAGTGTATTGGACACACCACTCATTTTTTAAAGCTTTAAGCTTTTTCAGTGGATTTAATTTTTTGTCTTTTATTTTTTTAAAAGACAATAATTGCAGTTATGGTAATTTTATATCAAAGCTTGAACTCCCAATTCATCTAGGTTTGGTATTGTTTTGATGATACTGCTGCATTATCATGTCAGATGAAAACTTATTGGAAGAAGATATCTGGGAATATAAATCCATAAGAAAACGAAAATTGGGAAAATCAGATGTTTCTAACTCTGTTCAAAAGGCTACAGATGGTAAACGCAAATCAAAAAGATGTGAAAGTAAAAACAAAAGGACTGTGGAAGTTAAGGAAAAGTCTAAGGATGATGAATTACATTTAGGAGAAAGAGGTTCTCAGACACTTGTGTCTGAACCCAATCTAAATACTAGCAGTAATATTCAGCAGTCCCCGGGTAAGGTAACTGCAAAAGCAAAGCTTGGAAAGACAGATAACAAAAAACTGACCCCAACAAAGCAGCATCCCGTTTATAGTGGACACTGTCCAAGTTGCCAAATGCCTTTTTCCTTGTTGCTGGGTCAAACACCTCGGTGGCATGTTGCTGAATGTTTAGATGCTCCACGGTCCTCAGAAAGAGGTAAGTGAAGGTAAATGATTTGTAACCAATCAAAATGGTCAGATATGCGAGATTTACGTCGATTGAATGAAAATTAAATGAGTCAGGCAATGGGATCCCAGGATGGATATGAAAGCTACTGTGAGTATAACTGGGTTATAATGAAGAGGGAAGATGAGAATCAGGAATATTTTTTTCTTTGAGCTTGTTAAAGATATAGTTTAAAAGATTTAAGAAGGGCAAAGAAAGTGTCAGAGGTCATAGGTACTCCTGTGAAGAAAGGTATAAACAGGAATAATTTTGTAAGGAAGCTTTTAAAGAAAGCTTTTAAAAAAATTCTTCCCCTTTACCATATAATTTCATGAAAACATGAAAGTGTAAATATCTTGGCTTTGAAATCAACAAATGTGCATGATGCATTCTCCATGATAAAATATGTAGAATGACGATTCTAGGAAGGTTTCAGGTGGAGAGGCAGCAGAACATTGGCAAGATCACTAAACACAGAGTCAGAAGAGTCTGATACTTATGTGATCTTGGGTAAGTAACTTAATCTGTTTCCTCATCTATAAAATATAAGGAATGACTTCTGAGGCTTGTCTAAATTTACATGAATTCCCAAACCAGTGTCTATAAACTATTTTTTTTAAATTGATAAGTTTATTTCAATATCGTTGGTTTCCTTTGTAATCCTATGTGTTTTATGCATTTAAAAGCATTGTTCTGGTCAGTAGGTTTCACCAGTCTACCTAAGGGGAACGTGGATTAAAAAAGTCTGCGAACCTAAATGGGAGGTTATGGTAACGTTGGTAATAGCTAGTATTTATATAGCACTAAAAGATTTGTAGTTTGTTTTACATATATTATTTCATATGATCTTCACGATAACCTTGTAAAGTAGATATTGCAAGTATTTTCTATATTTTGTAAAAAGACAAGCCTTAGGGTTAAAAAAAAACCTAATTTGCCTAAAGGCATGTGACATGTAATCAAGCACCCCTGCTAATGAATGCAATAAGTTGTGTGCAACATGAAAGTTACACTAAGCATAATTTAATCATTCTTTGATTCGAAAGACACTTTAAAATCTTAACAAGATCTTGTTATTGCCAACGGTCATTTATCATTGGACCATAATCTAGTTGTTTCTTTTAATAAATTTATGAATCAACTATTTTTCTTTCTCAGAGAAGTAGGGTACAAAATTTACAAAAACCTCTCAAACCTTTAATATTTTAACTTACCATTTGCTTCATTTGTAAGAAGCTTGAATTTACCATGACATGGAAAAGCCTTAATATAAGGAGGCCTTAGGAGTCCAGGTGATAAGACAGCCACTTAGTTGAAATTACCTTCATATTGGGTCCTTTTGGTACTTCAAAGACTTAATGCCATTGAGGACTGTTTAAAAACATTCAAAATTCATAGTAGTGTTAAAACAGAATTCAAACTCAAGATTTTTATTTTTCTTATCTGTAATGGAGTAATGCCTTCTGATTGAGCCTTTGAGAAGCTTCCCCTGGTATTCTTAATAAATCTGGATTCTGATTGTAGTAAGTTTGGGATATGCCAAAATATTTTACAAGTATTTTTTTATCATCCTGTTTCATAAACCTATTATTAAATCTAGAATGTGAAGACCTAAATGTTAACATCTAAGTTTTATTCCAAACTTATTCACTCTTTTGCAATTAAATTCCAATAAATTTCCAATTTATGTAGGCAGAGAGATTTATATAGGGTAGTTTCTGAATATAACTGAATGTTATGGATTAGAACAATATCCTATTAAAATTCCTTTTGTCTTACACTTTGTTTTAACTAATTACAACAATGTGGCTGAATTACGCTATATTCTAATCATAGATCTTTTGGTCAGTAAATTGAAAACTGCCAATTTCTTAAACTGGATTTTACATTCAGCAGTTCTATAAGACAATTATACTAGTTCACTTTTCTTCTTTGCTAACTGTTCAGCAGCTCAGTAGTGAAGCTGATGAGAATTTAGCCAGCATCTGCTTATTGTTCCACTTAAAGGATGGTTTGGGTTTTTTTGTTTGTTTGGTTTTTTGGCCAGGACCTGTGATTGCAGCAGTTTGGAGAACTTTCAGGTGTGGAAATTTCTTCCATATATACCAATTGGCAACTCATTGTCATTTACTGTCTTACAGAGTTGCTTGGGACACAAAAGACTAGTGACTTTTTCTGGTATTACTTTGCTAGCGTTTGTCTGAGGGAGAACTTGAAACTAAGTCTTCCGGACTGCGAGAATGACCCTCTGTTCATTATTCCATGCTGCCTCTCCTTGAAGGAATGTAAAGTAAGAGGAACATATATTCTGAAGAGCCTGGATAGTGAGAATTCCTTGGAAAAGAAAACCAGTAAATTTCCCCTGGTTTTTTTTTTTAACAGGAAAAATAAATTGTTGCCATATTTTAAAATCACAAATTGTCAAAATTTGGTCTTGCTATCTTTTTGGTTAGGATTCTGGAGTCTATCTTTTATAAACAGAGTTGAATAGCGTAAGTGTAAGGATTTCCTGCTGTTTTGACTATGGAAATTAGGAAGCAATCAATAAGTATTTTTAAAGGACCTACTATGTGCTGGAGACTGTGGTAGGTACCAGGGATACAAAGAATCATGCTGGAGCTAGCTCTTGAGAACTACAGTTAAATTTTCATTGTGAATAGTCATACTTTGGAAATTAGCAAAGGCTACAAATCAGGGGTTGACTAATTGTTTTGTTGATTGTCTAGACTTAAGAAGTGATGGAGAAAATGTTAATACCGCAGATTACACTTGTCTTTTTTTTTTTGAGAACTGATTGTTAACCATTTACTTGCCCACCAGTGATATAAGTTCAAAGAATGACAGTCCGTATTCACAAGGAGTTTACATTTTAGTGAGGGAGACAGCACTTGCATATATAAACATATATAGCATAATAGTAAAATGAGTAAGTACAAATATGTCCAAAGTTGTTCATATATACATACATGGAGTAGTTTGGAAGAGAGGGCACTAATATCAGTATTTGGGGTGGGGGTGGGAGGGCCAAGAAAGGCTTCAAGCAGAAGATGGTGCAAACTGCATTTTAAAGGAAAAACAATTGAAAATCCATTCGGGACCTCATCACTTCTCACCTATATTATTGCAGCCACCTTTAACTGGTCTCCCAGCCTCAAGTCTCTCATCACTGCAGTCAATCCCACATGCTGCTGCCAAAATCAGTTTCCTTAAGTACAAATTTGATCTTGTGACTTTCTTCACCAATTTCAGTTGCTTCCTGTTTCCTCAGATTAAAATGTCAACTCACCTGTTTAGCTTTTATAGTCCTTTACAACCTGGCCCCAACTCATTTTTCCAGTGTCATTGGACATTATTCCTCATACACTGTGTGATCCTGCCAAATTGGCCTTCTCTCTATTATCACTCATGATACTTGATTTCCTGACACCAGTCTCAATGTCCCCCATTCCTAGAATACACTACCTCTTTATTTTCTTTCCTTTCTTCCTTTTCTTCCCTCTAAGAAGTAGCTCAGGCACCAACTTCTGCAAGAGGCCTTTCTTAATCTCTTCACCCCCCGAAATGCTAGTAACCTCTTCACAAATTACCTTATATTTAACTGCTGTGTGTGTATTTACTTTATATTTGTTCTGAAAACACATATATATGTACTTGTTGCCATCCCCATTAGAATGTAAGCTCACTGTAAGTAGGTATCCTTTTATTCTTTGTAATCCTTCACCCTCCACCTGCCCACCCCCAGCACAATGCCAGCCATGTAGGTGCTTAATAACTACTTGTGGATTAACTAAGAGGAACTCTGAAGCAGAAGTAAGAAGGGGATGGAGGATGCCCAGTAAGAAGGTGCAGAGATGGGAAATGGTGTTCTGTCTTTGAGGAGCAGAGACAAAGCTAGTTTTGTCCGTATTGTAGAATGTGAAAGGGCAAATGGTGTATAACAAGAAAGATAGGTTCAGGCCCACTAATATTTTATGATATGAAAGTAGGTTCATAAGATTTAGAACTGAGAGGAAACTTAAAGATCATCTAGTTGAGCCCTCTTCATTTTACATTTGAGGAAACTGAGGCCAAGAGGTTGAAGTGACAAGCCTAAGGTTGCATTCATAGTAAGTAGCAGAGCCTCTGGATTCAAACCCAAATTTTCTGACTCTAAATCCATCTCTTGATCTAGTATACCAATCCATTGTTGGCTCTTGGTTCTGAAAATTTTTACTGGATTTGACATGCAAATATAATCAAGTGTTACTCTGTAACTTGATCCTAATTTTTTTCTCTCAAAAAAATTTTTTTTTAGAATGTCCTGATGGTCTTCTATGTACTTCTGCAGTTCCTTCTCATTACACACTGTATGCCCATTTCCTGCTAGCTCAAAGTAGAGCAGGGAATGATTTTTTTAGCTCTCCAACTTCTATGTCAAGCAGCAAGCTTCTTGGTTCCAATGATACTAAATCAAGCTTTCTCTGTAGCCTAGAGGAAAGATGGACTCAGTGTCAGAAACAAACAGAGAATGCAAAAAATGTTCCAAATGATCCCTTGTTGATAACATTGAGTCCAAGAAAATTTCAGTCTCCAAATGAAACCAATAAAAAGATTTCATTTTCCACAAACATCTCAAAATTCCAACAGACTATGCAGTTCACAGAATTTGTTGATAATGACAAACTTGAGAGCTCTGGTTTTCTTCTTGCTGATGGAGAATTAGACAGATTGAATAGCTCAGAACATTTGAACCTTCCACTGCCAGAAGCTGATCTCAGTGACTGTGAAATCTCCTATTCTCCTCTCCAAAGTGATGAAGAAACTTACGATATAGAGGAGCAGCTAGAAAATTCACAAAAGGAACTGTGTATTACTGAAAACTCTGAAAATTACAGCATTGACGATGAGGATGACAGCTGTATCTTGTTTAGAAGACTTTGTGGAACCTTACAAGAGGAATATAAACCTGACTGCAGGAAAATGAACAGTTACATAAACCAGAATGATGAAGAATTGAATATACCTCCCACTTTAAGTGATGTGTCTAAACCTGTTTCCCAAAATGAGAGGATGAAGTCTTGTGAGCCAACGTGTGCCACTAATCATTTTAGATGCTTTCCAACTTCTTTAACTGGGGACCTGAATTCTACCAATTATCAAGTCAATAAAGAGGGCCCTGATGAGCCAAAATTGTTCTCATCCCAATCAAGTAGAGGGAGTGTGTCTACTGAAGAACCAGCTGCTTGCAGTTGGGCTTCTCAGCAATTACTTAACAGTGAAATGTCAAAGTCCTTGGAAAGCAAGGAAGAAAAGGTTTTTTCTCCTCAGTCAACTCAAAGTGAAATGATAGAAGAATCAAATAGATCCTTTTATGGCAAAAAGAATAATCATATAATAAAGTTTTGCAGAGAAGCATTAGATAGTAAGGCAGGTATTAAGGCTTCAGTTTTAGACATGGAAGCTTTTCATAATAAAACTACTGAACATATGTCTATGGAGATATTGCTGCCATGTACTCCCAACTCTAACACAAGACCATCTTCTACTAAAGTATTAAAACAAATGGATATAGGTGTGTTTTTTGGGTTACCACCAAAAGCAAAGGAGGAGAAAACGCCAGAGAAAAGTGCTTTGAAAAGAACAAAAAATGCAAGTCCTAATGAAAAGCGGTCTGGACAGAACAAGAGGAAAAGGGAAGGATCTCTGGGTGATTCGGAACTTGATGCACACAACTTAAATAGAACTAAAACCTTTGAGGAATCATCCTGTGAAAGGTCACAAAGAAGAAAAAGATTTAGAAAGTCAGCTGTAAAAGAAGAAAAGACACAATTGGGAGAAACTGATGAGCTCATGAATAAGAGAGAACTAGTGACAAATAAGGTAGCTAAAGGTGGATCACAGAAGTGGAGAACAAGGTTGCAAGATTCAATTTATACTGAAGGAGGCTTGAGGGAAAAGAAATGTCCCTTCTATAAGAAAATACCAGGTAAATTGAAATTGTAATACATACTTAAATCACACACACACCCTTCTTGAGCTTTATTGGGTTCTTTTGCCTATTTTTTCAAAATATATGTTGTGTGCTTATTTATGAATACATCTTCTATTCATGAAATGCCTTGTGAAGATTTGAAGTTGACTCTTTTCTCATTCTTTTTGCTATATATTACACATAATATTGCCTAGCTTCTTAGATCAGACTCTGGCTAAGTTTCTGTGCTTTTTTTGTATAAAAGGGAAGAAAGTATAGTTGATTTAGTAGGAAAATGTCAGATGAATTATATAATTAAAGTAAATTATTTCATGATCCAGATGGGATATAAAGCAAATCATAATTGGCATCAATTGCCCACCCCCATTAAAACAATGTGCCTAAGGGAGGCAGTGTGATGCAATAGAAAGAGCATTGGCAATGTAGAGGACCATGTGACTTTGGGTAAGTCACACCCTCTCTGGGCCTCAGTTTACTTATCCTAAAGTGACAACATTGGACTATATGGCATCAAAGGTCCTTTCTAGCTCTGGATCTTTGTCACCTTGCTATTCTATGTTTATATTTTAGCCTTGAGTGTGTATGTTTATTATATATATATGTAATATACACACACATATATATATATACACATACCATTCTGTGTACATCATAGAGCCGTTTTATTCTAGAACAAAATTAATATGACTGATTTTCATTGTAGAATCAGCCCAGAATTTTCATACTGCACATTACTATTGAAGCACTAGGCACATTTTATGAGATCGTTTCTTTGCCTATTTTCATAGCATCAGTGCTCATTAGATACAAGAACTTAACATTCCTCTTTTGTCAGTTATTCCAGAAGTAAATGATTTCCATAAATATGAGTATTAAAACAAATATTAGTATATTTTAAAATTGACTAGTATCTTAACACTTGCCTTATTTGATGCAGTTGTTTACAAAGAAATCTTTACAACAGACTTTTTAGTCTACTGAATTATTTTGTCCAAGAGTGTCATCATTTCTTGTGTTTCTACAGTCTGCAGGACTTTTGGTAAACCAGAACAACTGATTAGAAATAGGCTGGAGAGCTGAGGGTGATGATAATTAATTAGCTCATAATTGAATGTCTTTTTTGAATATATTGGGTCTTATATGACCTTTTCTACTTGCATTTTTTTTATATATATTTTAGGAACTGGCTTTACAGTTGATGCCTTTCAATATGGAGCAATAGAGGGTTGTACAGCGTATTTCCTCACACATTTTCATTCGGACCATTATTCTGGCTTGTCAAAAAAATTTACATTCCCAGTTTATTGTAGCAAGGTAAGAGGATGAAAAACTTTCTGACCTAAGATTAACATGAAAGAACTTGTGAAACATCTATATATAAGCAACTTGATTGAAAAGAATAATAATTGAACTTTTACCCATTCTAGAAAAGAAATGACTAAAAGCTTCCTATCTATTAACCTCTAAACTCTATTTAAAACAGTCACTAATTGCAGTGCAGGGTGTTAGTGTCATGGTTGGTGCTGGGCTCTGAACCTCTTAATTACTAATCTAATACTTTTAAGCATTTATTTCACATATTCTCTAAAGAATTTGGATCCAAAATTGAGAAAGAAAGAACATATTAATCTAATTTAAACTTTTAATGTAGCTGTAACTTCCTGTCTTACAGATAACAAGCAATTTGGTAAAGAGCAAACTTTGTGTGCAAGAACAGTACCTCCATCCCCTGCCAATGGACACTGTGTGTATAGTAAATGGTATCAAAGTTGTTTTGCTTGATGCTAATCAGTAAGTATGAAAGTTACTTCAAAAGGGCCTTATTTTTCAAATGTTAAGAAGAAAAGAATAATTACTTGGCTAGTTTTTTTTTAGCATCCATCAATTTGAAAGGTTCAACTATTTTTTATTTTATTTTTTTTAATTTTTTAAATTTTTTTAGGCAATTGGAGTTAAGTGACTTGCCCAGGATCACACAGCTAGTAATGTCAAGTGTTTGGTCTGAGGCCGAATTTGAACTCAGGTCCTCCTGACTCAGGGCCAGTGCTCTATCCACTGCGCCATCTAGCTGCCCCTCAACTATTTTTTAAACACCTATTTTTAAAATAACTAACAAATACTTAAACAACTATTTTTTAAAAAATCTACCACTATTACTTCATGAATAATACATGCTCTTCCTCTGAAGACAGTGTTAGATGAATTTATCACAGAATCAGGAATTGTTGAAGTGAAGGGAATCTCCAGGAGTTATCATAACTATCATTTTACCTCTAGGCCAACTTGCATCTGAACTGTTTTTAACAGACAGGAGTTAATGTTTATTTTTCTTAAATATTTAGTTGTCAAATAAAAGTAGATTTGCTTATTGTTGATGCTATTCTTTATATCGTTTTAAGATTATATCTTACATAACTGATGTTATAAATTACCATTCTCCCTTTAAACGTATATAATGTCATTTCATTAGTGACAATTAAATTTATGTTACTAGGTAAGCATGTTCTCAGTTCCTCTGAGATTTCCTTCAAGTAAATTTCAGGCTATTGGTAATCTTAAACCTTAGGAAGTTTATTTTCCTGGAATTTAAAATGAATTTGGGAGTTAACGTTTAGTGGAATGTGGAGGCAGTGTTTACATGGTTATTACCAGCTGTCTCTCTAGTTTTCCTTCTTTTTAGTTTTCCATGTTAATTTGTTTTCACCCCAGCTACTCAGTATATTATTGCTAATATGAAATTAGAAAACTTCTATAGGAATAGAGTTGGTCCTGGTGTATATCACTCTTGTGTACTTTCAAATGCTACATAAGTGTGAGAGTATTACTATTATTATTATTACTATTATTTTAGTGTGGTTGCAGATTTAAGAACACTCATATTAAGGAGAATTTAAAAGACAGATACTAAAGGTTAAAGTGGGCAAGGGTGGTATCTAAGAATGGTTTTACTTATATGTTACCTCATTACCAATTTCTTATGTGTTTTCTGGTCCATATGATTATGACTGGGTCTTCATTGTTGAATCAGTTTGAATAAACTGCCCACAAGAGCAAACTTCCATGGTCCGATTAAGGTCCTGAGATAAACAAGTTTATATCTGATGTGTGTGTACACACACACACACACACACACACACACACACACACACACACACACA